AACCCTCACTACCTATTTATACCCCTTTCTATAAAAAGAAAGGCGGTTTAGCAGCCCTTTATTCAACATGCCTCCCCATGCATGCATACATAACTTTTCATGCATATGAATACATACAAACTCATGTATACATCCAATTATCCATATAATTAATTATGCACACATGCATAATTTAATACATGCTTTTATTTAAGTATACTCACATACATACATGCATATCATGCATATATTTCTTATGCATAGAATTCACATATTTGTTGCATACATATTTATGCACATAATTTCCATACACTAGCATGATCAAATAAAACAAATTTATCTGCTATCACGTAATCAGATAATCACGTATTAAATACCTTCGGTGATAACTAAGATCCAGTTATCACATTATCCACCCCTCAAAAAAATTCTGTCCCGGAATTTCTTTAATCAAAAAGCCATGGGTATTCTGTTCTCATCTTTGATTCCAATTCCCATGTTGCTTCCGGTCCTTTGTGAAACTTCCACTAAACCTTTACCAGACTTATTTCTTTGTTTTCAACACTCTGATTTTTCGGTCAACTACAGCTTCCGGTGTTTCCACAAAGTTCAATTTGCTGTCTAATTTAAGCTCTTGCAACGGCACAACTAAACTTGGATCCGCCAAACATTTCCGTCGATTCGACACATGGAAAGTATTGTGAATCAAACTCAGTTCTTCTGGCAGCTCTAACTGATATGCTACTGGCCCAATTCGTTTACATATTTTGAATGGCCCTACATACCTCGGACTGAGCTTCCCTTTCTTTCCAAATCTGATGACACCCTTCCATGGTGAAACTTTTAACATCACAAAATCACCTATATAAAACTCAATAGGCTTTCGACGATTATCAACATAACTTTTCTGACGATCTTGTGCTGTTTTGATTCTTTTGCGGACCTGTTCGATCTTTTTAGAAGTTTCTTGGACAATTTCAGGACCCGTCAGCTGTTTCTCACCAACCTCATTCCAACACAACGGCGTTCGGCATTTACGTCCATACAACACTTCATATGGTGCCGCTTGAATGCTGGAATGGTAACTATTGTTATATGCAAACTCTATCAATGGCAAGTGATCTTCCCATGATCCCCCGAAGTCAATAATACAACTTCTTAACATATCTTCGAGAGTCTGGATAGTTCTTTCACTCTGCTCATCAGTCTGCGGATGAAAAGCTGTACTCAATCGGATTTCAGACCCTAAAGCTTTCTGAAACCTTTCCCAGAACTTTGAAGTAAACCGACTATCTCTATCAGTGATAATGGACAATGGAACACCGTGTTTAGTAACAATTTCTTTGATGTAAATCTGTGCTAGCTTTTCTAAGGAGTACTTCTCTCTTATTGGTAGAAAATGCGCAGATTTAGGCAAACGATCAACAATTACCCAAATCGCGTCTTATCCCTTTGGAGTTCGAGGTAACTTCATAAAAAAAATCCATGGTAATGTGATCCCATTTCCATACAGGTATCTCTAAGGATTGAAGACTTCCATACGGCTTCTGATGTTCAATCTTAACCTGTAAACATGTCAGACATTGTTCCACATATCGAGCTATATCTCTTTTCAACCCTGGACACCAATAAAAAGGTTTCAAATCTTTATACATCTTATTGGTGCCTGGATGAATAGAGTATCGGGACTTATGGCTTTCATTTAATATCATATTTCGGATATTTCCAAAACATGGTACCCAAA